CTTTCCCTATTTAAGCTTTCTTGATGGTGGTGTTGGTGGCAAAGGCGAAGAATGTAAAGGTGACTATAAGATTCTCATTTTTGTGTCAGCTATGAAGGCTGCAAAGGAAAATTAAATCAAAGCTGTTACCTCTCCCAAAAAAAATTTTGAGTGTGAGTATGACACTGTGACTGTTAGTTTGCATGGAAAAGGGTGCGAGATACTGAGATGAAATAGCAAGAAAAATGGACTACCATAAATGGCAATGTAATTTGCCAGAAATGTCAAGTTCCTAACGAACAGTTTATCTATTTGGCCAAAAAGTAATAAACTAATAATATCCTTTCCCTTGAATAGTTTCAAAATTAATAAAATTATATAATAATCTCTCAATATTAAATATTTATAAATTTAACTTTTAAGTTAATGTTTTTTTATTAATTTAATTATAACCCATTTAGAATATCCTCTATAAAAAGGTCTGGCTTAATAAATATAAATTATACTGAATTGAAACTCGACAAGAAAACGTTACTAACAATATCAAGTAACTAAGTTTTGTCCTACTATTTTAAGCATAAATTTGTGTTTATTCTTATAATTTTATATACAATAAAGATATGGCAAAAATCAATTTAACAAAAGAAGATTAAATATAAATAATATAAAATATTGCAAGTTTGAAGCACGAGACATGACACTGAGAACCTGGGACAATGCAATAAAGCCGGTACCAAAACAGGGCTATAAGGCAAAGCCTTTTACCTATAACCATGAACTTAGGCATCCCTTCATTCACTTCACATACCCAGTTTGATTGGCAGTATTATTAACCACTCTATTATCTTTTCCTTTCCTGTTCCACTGTTCATTACTGCTTCCATTCTTCTCCAGTACATATTTTACTACTTTTATTTATTATGTTTCCCGAGTATGAGTTTGAATCTTTTGATTTTGAAGTTCTTTTATAATTTGTATGTTTCATGTGCATGGTACAACGATAGATACTTCATACATGTGATGCTTACTGTTTACTAATCATGTCTTGCTGGTGTAATTTCTTCCCAGCCTTTTGCTAATGATGGATGAAATACAAAATTTGGGAGAAAAAAGATTATTAAGCATAAAAAGATATCAAGACAGGAGCTTCAAAAGAGATCGGAATAGGAATGACCAAATACATTAATTCTAATATCCTAGTTAAATTGTAAAACTAAATAATCATATAATTACAAGTATTTTTAAAATATATATTTTAAGATAATTAACATCAATATAAATATAATATCCTGTTATATAAAACTATTATTCAGTAAATCAAGGAATTGTATTATTAATACATATTAAGATCATGTGTGACATTAGATCAAATTGAGACAATCAAAAGTATGAACACTTTTAATTGTACCTACGCACATTCACATGTAAGATTTCCTACAAAATAAATGTGTGTAAGTACAAGTACTCATAGGTAAAAATGAATGAATCTTTTATAACTCGCTTAGTAACAAAGTGAGAATGGTAATAAAGTACTCAAATTTGTAGATTGTAGGTAATCGGACTTTAAAATTACTTAAATATTATTAATTATATATATAATAAGTTGTGAATTTAGTATAATAACTTAAAATTATTTAATCAAAATTGTTTTTAAAACTAATTATCAATAAATTTATGTTTAGTATAAATATGTGATTCAATATTATTTTTTATTTTTAATTCTTTTATTTTTTTATATTTTAACAAATATTTATGGATATTTATCATGAATATTCCATTACAAGAAATGTTATATATATAATGATATATAAAAAGTGTTATTATAAATATAATGTATATAGATATAAATCTATTTAATATATAATTATACTCAATTTTAATATTAATAATGATTTTGAATGAGATTTAATAATAAATATTATGTGTTATTATAATATATATTTATATTTCTTAATAATATATTAACATATATAGTATTTATAGTGTAGATAAAAATAACTTTGGTAACAAATATAGTATCAGTACTATAGAGTTTGTATTATTATATGACAATATTTTTATATTGTAAATGAAATTTGTGAATACCTATTTAATAAATATATATTGTGCAGGTATATATAAAAAGAGTACGAAGCAAATATTTTCGTCCATGGAAACAGGAACAAGGGATTATAGTACCCGTGACCACCTCATTGTCATTTATAGATGAGAAAAACAAAATACAAATAAGTACGAGGAACTGAGTATCGTAAAATTACTTAACTTTTCCTAATTATATCATATGGGGTAAATGTGACAGATGATGAACACGTTGTCTACTACTTTCTTTCATGATACAATGAAGAACCTTGAGTATGTTTTGCTAATTTAACAACAATTGTGTTTGATAAATGGGAATTTGGCTTTTACTTATGCAATAAATGCAAGGACAAATGAATTTGTACTAAATTAAGTAAGAGAATGGAGAGTTGGAAATTACATCCATTCTGCATGAAAAATACTTCTAATTATAAATAATTTGTGTCTGAATAATCATATTTATTTAATTGATGTTATTCATGAAAAGTTACATTTCCAAACATGTCTACAATATAAGTCTAAATGATTGTAAACAATGGCTCATATATATCTATTAATTTTAAATTTATATTAACTTAATTTAAAAAATAAATCTTTATTTACTATTTATCATTATATCTTTTAAAAAAATTATCATTATAATAGTTTGACAATATAATGTTTTAGTATTTTTTTTAATTAATTAAGAAGATAAAGAAAACAAAAAGAAGCACGCCGACGGTTCTTCTCGTATGAATTCTTTATAGGTATTCTAACTTGGATCCGGATCCTCTGACTTTGAGATATCAAAGTTATGGTAACTTAACACATCTCAATCGTTGGATTTGTAATAATAGATCAGATTGTGACACGTGTACAAAATATATTTTAACTTAAATGTACACGTGTCACAATCTGATCTACTATTACAAATCCAATGGTTTAAATGTGTAAAGTTACCCTAACTTTTTCCCTCCTAACTTTCCCCCTCCAAAGTCAGGGGATCTATTTCCTTCTAATTTGTTGGTTAGAACTTTTTATCTGGTTGCAGGTTCTTGTCTCTCTCTCTCCTTTCTCTGCATCACTTTTGGTTGGTTGTCTAATATCAGTGCATTATTAATAAGGAGAACTTTCATTTTGTAGCCATTTAACCTTTATAATGTTTGTTTAATCTTCAAACAGATCGAAGGAAAAATAAAGAGGAAAGCTATTATAAACCAAAAATACAATCTATTACGTGATTGGTTTTCATTTTAGCTACAAAAATATCATGACCTGACATTCCATGTAGTTTACTCATTTTATTTTATTTTATTGAGTATAGTCTAAAATTCTGAAATTGATTTAGTTTATAATCGGTTTATGTTCAAGCAATTAATGTAATTGGATATTATAACATCAAATAAAAGGATCAAGTTAGAAAGTGAGGGCTTAGGTAGTTGCATTTGTGATGACATCAAAATAGCGATGGAATATTAGCAATATTAACAAGGGATTTATTGTTACTGTTGGGAACAAAAAAAACTTCTTTTTCTTTTAGGTGATGAGAAACACAATATTAAAATAATATCATAAAAGAAATAGGACAAGATTACACAAATTTATTTAACGTGGTTCAGTTTTTTATGCTTACGTCTACAAGAATGTTCATTATTTATTTCAAAATGTGTTACATATATTTTGAAAATCTTTCCTTCAAGTTTTGTGGGTTAACCTTGAAAACCCCTTCCTCACAAGTTTTATAGGTGAAACTTAGAAACTCATTCCTCACAAGTTTTTTGGCAAAACTCTTGAAAACCATCATTCACAAGTTTTTTGACAAAACTTGGAAACCTTCTTTCATATGACCTCCTCTCTCATTTAAGGAGGTGACCCCCTCTACAGGTCGAGTGATTCTTCTCATCTCAAAAGTCTCTATTTATTGAACTTACATCACAATCTTAAAAGAGTAAACAAATATCTAAAATAAATACACTATTTTAATTTTAAACAATATCATAATAGAATCAATATCTTTTAAAACCTAAATAATATCTCAGAGATTTGAATTAAAAAATTTGAATTGTCTTTTCAACACAATCGTGTGATAGATTAGCGATCATTTTGCAAAGAATATATTGCGAAAGATTAACTATCACGTAGTGAGAGAATATTTACGGTATTAGTGACAAAAATCTTGCGATTGATTAGTGACAATCATATTGCAATGGATTTCATAACAAGAAAAACGTAATTCTTTTTACGGATATAATCCAATAAAAAATAAATATCTGTCAAAAAAAGAGAATTTTCGACGAATGCAAATCCTTCGAAAAAAGAAACGTCGGAAGAAAAAAAATCTATTGAAAATAATTTAATCTGTCAGAAATTTTTGACAAATCTGTAAAAAAAATTTGACGAAATATCTGTTGGTATTGTTTGAAAATCTTTGTGTGATTCCGACGAATAAATCTGTCAGAAAATTTTTATTTAATTTTAATAAATTTATTAATGTAACACCCCTCATATTTGATCTCTCAAGGACTCCATTTCATGACACTTCACTTTCATCGTGCTTTGTCCTTACTCGCACATTTTTTGAGAAAATTTCTAAAAGGTCATCCATCCCTAAATTAATCAAAGTTAAGCACGTTTAATTGTACTGAAAAATAGATGCATCTTGTTAGTATAGGTAGTACCAAATAATTCATTTAAATCATCCTCAAGTATACAATCTTATACTTGTATTCTCTGGATCCCTCTCATTCTGATGTATCCAGACTGTTATAAAAGTATAATAATATATATAATAATTATATTATATTTAATTAATCTTTATTTATATATATATACTTACTTTTATAATTAACAATCTACTTATTTCTATTTAAAATTAATATTATGATAAAATTTAAAAGTTTAAATAATAATTTATATATTTTAAAATATTATTTTTATAATTTATAATGATAATATTATTTATAAAATTATAAATACTTATTTATTACATACTTATAAATTAAATTTTAATATTTTAAATAAATTATTAATTAACTTAATATATTTATTTATCTTAAATCTAAGATATAAAATTCAAAAAATGTATTTATCCTTGTTTTATTTTCTAATTATCAACCATTCATATAATACTAATTTAAAATCTTATCTAATTATATCATAATATTTTCATTTCAAATTTAAAATCATATATTAGTTATACAAAA